TTGAACCTTAGCTGCGCCCTAGCTAAGAGATGTGATGGATAATAAAAGCTATAAAACATAGTTCCTGCCTTCATAGACTAACACTATAGTAGAGTATTTAAAACCAGAAACCATATTAGAGTTGTTATAACTCAACCTCTCTGGCTACAGATGAGGCGGTCAAGGCCTCATGTTGGAGTGACTTGCCCAGGGCCTGAGGGCCAGTAAGGGATCAAGGCAAGAGCTCCTAGAACTCTTTCAACTGTTCCCTTCTGCCTTGAAGGCAGGGAACAAGAGAGACAAAATCAACTGTCTCTAACTGGCAGGTTATTACTAATTGAACTGCATGTTCGCAACAATATCCTGCAGGCCTTTCTGAAAGGCTGGCACCCTCCCAACCCTCCCAGGAAGACTCAGCCTTGGAGATCAGGATGGAGGGTGTCTGAAGCCCTGTATTCTCAACCATTAACTACACCAGTGCCCAGGGCCCAGGCTTCCTTCCTATTTGCTCCTGCTCTTCAGCACTTCCAATAACCCTGCTCTCACAACAGGGCTCAAGCCCCTCAAGTATGGAAACTGACGGTTCACTTGTGGTTAAGAGCAGGGGTCCAGAAGTCAGAGAAACCTGGATTCAAGTCCTGCCTCCTCCACTTATTAGCGTTTGACATTAGACAATTGATATCCAATCATTCAATGACTAATTTATTGAGCTTCTTGACAGAGTGTTCCAGGCACCGAAGGTAGAAACTAAGCAAGACAGATAAGCCCTGGCTCTCACGGGTCTCACATTCCACTTGGGGAGCCAGTCCCTCAGGGCAATAGCAAATAGTCACCACGGGGTGATTTCAGGGAGGAATCAATATTTCAAAAGAGCAGGGGATGACAGAGTAGGTGAGACAGGCCAGGCACAGCGGCCAGGGATGATCTCGTGTACAAGGTGACATCTGAGCTAAGACCTGCAGCCTGGGAAGACAGGGGAAGGCAGGGAGAGGGCATGAGGCAGTGGGCACAAGTCACTGTGCCCTAGTCCCACCCCAATCTACTCTGGGTCCCTAGTGGTTCGTGTGCAAAGGCCCTGGGGCAAGGGAGACTTGGCCTATTTGAGGAGAGAAGTATCTTCATCTGGAAAGAGCATGGCTAACAAAAGCATTTGTGCCCTTGGGTTGTTTTGACTAGATGAGCTGTGTGTACCGAGGCCTTAGTGGAGTGTCTGGCAGTAAATGTTGGCTGTGTATTATGGTTCCAAACTTTGTTGCTAGGGGGCACATCCCACCCTAACTGGGTCCCTGACACTGTGGAACACAGGCCCTTTTTCCTTTTCTTGGAAGTAACACTTGTTCCCTCTTTGTGGAATGCACTCCCACATCTCCCCTGCCCTACCCCTGCCAGCAAACCATGAGTGATTCTTTAACTCTCAGTTTAAATGATGGCTCTTCCTTCTCCACAGTCACAGCACTGGCCTGGCAGGTTGCATACCCATGTGAGGACCTGCAGTGCCATCCTGGGAGATGGCTGCTTATCCAAAAGCTGTAAAAAGGCCTGGCACCAGCCTCCAACCTCACCTGGCCATGTGGTCCCACCCTTCTGTGTGTGCTGGGCCTCCCTTCACGTCTGGCCAAGCTGTTACCTCCCTACCCTCCCTCTCTCTCACGGTACCTTGGAGCACCTTGTTCTTCTCTTCAAACACACATCTCATGTTGAGATGGTAGGTAGATGTGACTGTTGTCTGCTGATAACTATTTATCGATGCTCGTCCCCACCCTCTCCTGGTGCTCCTCTCACTGCTCAGTCCCCACCTCATTCTCCTTTGCCGACTCATCCCCTTCTACTTGGTCACTTGAGGTTGGAGCTTCTCAGGGCTGAAGCCCAGCCCCTCCTCTTCTGACAGGCTCTCTTCCTAAGTGACCTCACCCCTGCTCACATGCCCAGATGCCTCGAAGATGCCCTAGTATATACCTTTCACCCGGGGCCTCCTCCGACTGCAGACCTGTTTTCCAAGGCCACCTCCCCACCTCCTCCTGGATACCTCAGGGCATCTCAAACTCAGCACATCCCACGCAGTCCACGATTGTCCCTTTAGATCTGAGTGGAGTGTGGGGCTCCCCAGTTCAGGCAGGAGCAGCTCATTCATCCATTCAGTCAAGCAGGATGGCAACCTCAGAGTCACTCTTGATGCCTCCCTGACCCCCTAACTCCCATATCCACCATCCACCGGGAACTGCTGGCTTCACTCCTAAATGTCACTTACCCCTGTGGGTCTTTCTGCCCCCGCCTGCTGTCCTCCGCCTACGGAGGCTGTCTCCCTGCCTCCACCCTGGCTCCCTCACCTGCCCGTTCCAGTGTGTTCTTCACACAGCAGCCACAGTGGCATTCAGAGAGGCAGATCTGATTCCATCACTCTCTCCCACTTGACAGTTCTCTGGGGCTTCTCATGGCCCTCAGGAAGAAGCCTGGTTTCCCTCGGTGGCCCTGCTGCCTCTGGTCCCTCCTCCCTACCCGTTCTTAGCAAGAGCAGGGTAGGAAGGGAATCTGTCCCAGGGCTCAGGAGCGAGTGGAAGAGGGAAAGTGCATCCTTAGGGCCTTGGCAGGGTGACAGGACAGTGTGGCTCTTGCTCTGCAGCCTGAGCCGGCCCATGACTGAGCGATCCCATAGAGCTGGGCTCTTCAGATAACCTTTGGTGGCTAGTCTCCCACGTCCCCTGGCCTGGGACAAGGACTCTCTGTGGGGGCCTCGGACACTCAACTTTTACCCTGAGTATGAATGGAGGCTTCTCAGGTAAAGCTGCTTACCCCTGGAGGCCTTACTCTCTGGGAGTTTGCTGCAGAGAAGGGTCTGTGTCGTTGCTGCAGTTCCTATGGGACCTTCTAGAAACCAAGGATTGGGGTCATCCTCTAGTGACAAACAGAATCCAATACCTTCTCCCTCCTCTGCTGCTGTCCTCTGTTCCAGCCTCTTCCCTTCCCTCCTGCGTCCTCTCAGCACAGCTGCTGGGCCATCCTGTCACCCATACGTCAGGCACAGCACTGCTCCGCTTCACAGCCTTCCCATTTTCCTCCGAGTACAAACCACAGTTCTTAAAATGCCCAAGGCGGACCTGATTTGGCCTAGTTACCTCTCTGATCTCAACTAGACTAGGCTAACCACTCAGCCTTTCTGTAGGTATCCTGGAGACTTACATGCTCTGCACAGAGCCCTCGGTCCTGAAACCCTGAGACCCTCTCTCACCTCCTCCAGGTATTTGCTCAAAGTTCCGTTCCCTTCTCAGGGAGGTCTTACTTGGCCTCTCAATCTGTATGTACCACCTCCAACTCCACATAAACTTCCTACCCCTTTCTATGGTATTTTTTCTCCTGAGCATTTCTCACCATGGAACAGGCCATATATTCTATTTATTTACCTTATTTACTATTCATCTCTCCCAACTAGAATGTAAGCCTCATGGAAGTGGGGGGGGGCGGGCTTATATCTGAGTCTCCGGCCTCTAGAATGGTACCTGCCACATAAACATGTGCTCCATAAATGAACGCAGTTTTTCTTTTCTGCACTCCCTGGGTTGTGGGTTGCATGCTAAGTGCATCCTCGAGGCCAGGATCTGCCTCAAGTCTTTTTGAAAACCATCCCTTTCCTAATGCACTCCTGCCCCTGAGCCTGCCCTCATCATGCCCATTGCTGAGGCCTCAGGACTGAATCACATTTTTGGAGTCTTCCCAGGATAAGCCAGTCATCATGATTATTCTACAGCAATGGTCATGTATAATTACACTCATTATCCTATACGAACAATCCACTGCTGCTCTGTAATTCCAATGGTAATTGCTGGCCTTCTGAGGACTGGGCTGGCTTGGACGGTGTGTGCCCATTTTCTCTGAAGCCACCCTCTGGAACACAGGCAGGTAGGCACTGCCAAGCGACAGAGGTGCCAACAATTTTTCCCTCGCCACAGGCCCTTACTTCAATTGCTAATGAGAATAAGAGTGGAGGTCACCAAAGGAGTAATGCTGTCTGGAGAATTTTCTACCATTTCTTCTAGTCTAGGGCCTGTCCAAGTGATTTCGGGTAGCAGAGCCAAAAGGTTGAAAATGAGACAGTGCAGTGGAGTCTCTGGCTGAAAACAATCTCTCTGCCGTCAACAGTGGCCTTGAAAGGTGGCTGAGAGCCAGGCCTTTGTGGGAGTCTCCTGAGTAGTTTCTTACCCCCTGTCTTTGAGCCCCCACCATGGCATGTGCCAGCTTTCTTCAGGTGAATCTGTCTGGGCCCTGGCAACCTGGGACTGGTGCTCAGAGCCCTTCAGAATCTTCCCCTTCTGTGCTCCAGCCTCCTGCCAGGCCCTGCACCAGCCCCTGCTTCTCACTTTTCCGTAGGCACATCTGACACCTTGGTGCTTCTGGGCCTTTGCTCCAGTGGTGGCACGGCCCTGCACATAACAGGGCAAAGGAATCTCCCCTGAGATGCCAGCCATGTCTTTGTAGTTATCCTGTAGACCCTGAAGAGGGGACCCCATGACCTGAGTGCTGGCCTCAGAGGGGCTGAGATGCTGCCTTTCCACTCAAGCAGTTTTTGAGCTATTCTTCTAGCCAAGAAAAGCCTTACCAGGGGCCAACATCAGCCCATTGATTTTTCAACCAAACACAGATTTACTGGGCAGGAGGAGGCAATAGAAGGCAAGGCAGGAGCTGAGCCTCGAAAGAGAATGCACCAGCACCAGCTGTCACACGGACCACAGAGTGTCCCTCCCAAAGGCTGTGGGCTCCTGCTCCCTCCTCCTCCCATCTGCAGCAGAAGGGTGGGAGTCAGTTCCCAGGAAAGGGCTTCTCCAGTCTGAAATAAACATTTGCCAAGGTGGGACCAAGGAGCAAACCCTTGGTGTCCCAGAACACAATGGCTTCTAGGTAAGAGTTAAAACAGCCTTTTGTGCAGAGGTGAAACACCTTACCTCTGCTGCACACAGCTTTAGTCATCCACAAATGCAATCATGCAGGTAAACAACAGGAAAATTAATTAGAACAGTTGCCCACAATACCCATTTTTCCTCTTTTTCCATTGGCTCCTTTTTCTCCTTTTGGGCCCTGAGGACCAGGCTGTCCATCCGATCCATTGTGTCCTGGCAACCCACCAGCTCCCGGAGGTCCTGCATCAAAACACGGAAACAGGGACATGAAAAAACAATCTTCATTGAAGTTACTGTGATTTCCTCTACCAGTGAAGCTGAGCAGCCCTCAATGCCTTTTCCACGTCCTCTCCCACTTCTTCCCTTCCTTCTCTGGCTGAAACAGTGCTGAGATGGGGATGGTGACGGCAGAACCTCAGGTGAGGAGCGCCAAGGAGACACACAGCCAGGACTGCCTCAGGCTCTCACCCCCCCACATCTGTCCTGGCAGAGAGATCCTAGGGTCTGACCACCCACAGCCGCCCCTTGAACTAGAAAAGTCCACAGGCTCTTACCTGGTGGTCCAGGAGGTCCTACAACAGAAAAAAAATTTAGATGAGAAACCGTGGGTGGAAGAAAGAGAAACCAGCTCTGAACCCAAAAAACAAAAAGCACCCTCCCACCTTTGAATCTCCTAATCATCTACTGACCCTAAGGAACAGATTCCACATCTTCTATTTAGAACTCATTACATTTGGCCAAAAGATCCTTTAAAATAATCCAACAAAGACCCATTTGCCAATCAAACCACTTTTGCTTAAGTTTCAATGAACCAAGATTAATTTCTGAGCTGGCCTCACTGTAGATTCACAAATTAGTCACCTCTCAAGCTGTCAGCCTCATAAACGGCAGGCCAGTAACAATGCTGGTGGGCACGAGTGCAGCCCTAGCACAGGGGGTTAGCGAATGATGGTGCTGTCATTGTAGGACTGAGATTTGGCCGTCCCAAGCATCGCTCCAAGTGCTCTCATGTGGCTGGCTTGTCTCATCTGAGCCACTGGAGGGAGTTGGAAGTGGAAGCCGACTGGCTAGATTTCTCTTTTGTTACATGATATAGCTTGATAAAAATCGAGAGCACAGATCAGGTAACAAATACCTTTCTTAGCATGTATATACCCAAGGATCTAAGGGGTTCAGATGAATCCAAATTGATTTTGCTCCCACAAATAGGAGTGTCTTATTGTCAACCATTCTATTTGAGTACTCAGACAAAATAATGAGGTTGTAACTTGAGCAGTTGATTTCCTATTCTTCCTTCCTTCCTTCTTTCTCTCTCTCTCTCTCTCTCTCTCTCTCTCTCTCTCTCTCTCTCTCTCTTCTTTTGTTTAAGACAGAGCCTCGCACTGTCACCAGGCTGGAGTGCAGTGGTATGATCTTGGCTCACTGCAACCTCTGCCTCCCAGGTTCAAGCAATTCTCCTGCCTCAGCCTCTCAAGTACATGGGACTACAGGTGCATGCCACCATGCCCAACCAATGTTTGCATTTTTAGTAGAGACAGGCTTTCACCATGTTGGTCAGGATGGTCTTGATTTCTTGACCTCATGATCTGCCTGCCTTGGCCTCCCAAACTGCTGGGATTATAGGCGTGAGCCACTGCGCCTGGCCCTTTTTGTTTCTTTAGACCACATATAATGATTTACCAATATTGGCATGGCAAGGTCTTTCCATAAATCTAAGCTTGTGACCATACACAAAACAAGCATTAACTAAGCACTTACTATATACATCAAACTCCACCAAGAAATCTTGGTCCCTGTACCTGTCATGTTCACAGTCTATGCGGGGAAGGTGGACTCTTTGAAACCATAATGTAGTATGAGAGAGCTATAGTGAAGTGTCCACTCCCATACCCCTGATGAAGGATACTGGGGAAGTGTGGGCACTCAGTGGTCTGAGAAGGATCCTGGAGCCATGACATTGAAGAAATGAGGCTTAATGAGATCTGGCACTCTATGCATGGGCCACCAGGAGTAAAGGTACAGAGGTGGGGACTTATAAGACTCAGGGTGGGAGGAAGTGAGAGGACTAGCCCAGCTGGAGTGCGGAGAGATGAGGCTGAAGAAGGACCTGGGTATGGTGGGTGGCAGAAGCACTTGACTGCCAAGCCGAGAGGTGTAGATGTTATCTGCGGGGCAGGAGGGAGCCATGGAATTTTCTTAGGCAGGGGATGATGCTGTGAAAGCAATGTGGGTTTGACAGCCTCTTTCTAGCTGGAAGATGGATAGAACTAGGTGCAACAAGACGAGAGAGACAGTGACAAAGAGACAGGAACAGAGACATGGAGGATGGCTATTGCAGAAAAAATACCAAGGGAATCCTTGTAGTTAAAATTAGTGACAAGGTTGTGGATAAACGTGCTGACTGCGGTGTTGTAGAGAAAGCTAGAAATTCAAGAGATATTTCAGCAGAACGAGCAGGAATCCATGTCTGATTGGGTAGGAGGCAAAGGAGGAAGCGTTTCAGATAACAGGGGGCCTGTGACACAGATGGATAGAGTCTGTGTTGGCATATTCCTGGGAGAAATAGGTGTTTGAGGGTATGCTTTCAATACATAGCAGTCCTACTCTGGGCAAAAATGGTTGGCTAAAAACGGCACCACATTCTCTAGGGTCAGTACAACCTGCATCTCCACGACTTTACCACCAGATGGCGCACATGTACTGGGAAGGGGGTGATGTGGTCAGTTAACAGAGTCAATGGAAATCAATTAATCATCGTTCCCTACGACAGAGGGAGCCATATTCGGATATACAGATTGGTAGAAGGATGCTTTGACTGTAAGACGGATGAATTGCCTGTACACAGTAGGTTTCAAGATTTCCCAGGACAGTCTGATAACCATGTCCGTGCATCGGGACGTTGGTGAGAGCTCCGGGCTGAAGCTGTATATTCAGGACAAGTTAGGTGGCCAAGGGTACTATGGTGAAGTGCTTAGATTTGGGTTTTCTGCAGGAACTCCACTGATGCCCTAAGGATAGCGTTCCTCTCATATGAATCCAGAGAATTGTCTGCAATGCCTATTAAAATGCAGATACCCAGGCCCTATCTGGAGTTTCTAATTCAGTTTGGATTTAGAGTAAAGCCCAAGAATCTGCATTTTTACCAAGCATCATAGGTGGCTGGGATGCAGATGGTCATGGGCCCTCTGATGTGATATGACAATTTTCTGGGAAAAGGATCAGTCACCATCAGCAGACCCTGAGAGGGGTTCTTGACCCTAAGAAGGTTCAGAGCTACTAGTCTTAAGGCAAGAGTAAAAAGTCTGGGCTAGAACTGGTAATGGAAGAGGGGGAGGGCCACGCCCCACCTGGAGAGAGGCAAGTGAGAGAAGAGGCACCAGGAAAGAGAGAGTCGTCAGAAGACACGTGGGGGAGGAAATCCAGGAGTTCTAATGCCCCAGAGCTAGAGGAGGAGAGAATTTCAGAAGATAAAGGAAGACAGCCCCAGACAGCTCAGCAGTCCAGGCAGACATAAAACGTGCTGAGGCATAGGGAGCTATGGTGATGGTAGGATGAACTCTTGTCCTCTCAGAATGCCAGCCCGTCTCTCCAGGGGCCCCAACATCTGAAAGAGCCCCCAGACGGGTCAAATAATGTCAAATGTCATGATATGTGCCAACTGAGTGTTTAGAAAACTTTTTCAACTCTTGATCCTTCTCTTTCTTGAATACCACATCCTCAAGGAATATGTGCAGACATCCATGTTCATGCTAGCAGTGCATGCAGGGCTGGTGCCCTGGGCCTGCCACCCCTGTGGGTGCATAGGGTTTCACCTCACAAGGGGGCTTCAGGTGTGGGCTTAATGCTCTGCAGTCACCACTTAGAAATTCCCAATGATCTTGGCTTTGAATCTGTGTTTTGTAAATGAAGTCCAATGGGTCAATAAAGTAGGCACAGAGGGCTGGTGGAGTCCCACTCCTACCACCTTCCTAGGACAGGTTGCCTGTCATCTGCTCCCTTGCCCCATGATGTGTCCTCTGTACTCCTTGCCCTGTCAGTAACTTCCGCCACCTTCCACCCAGGTGGGGACCCGGGCACAAGTGCAGGAAAGGTGGGGCTAAGTGGTGCCCTGCATGCCTGAGTCACAGGACAGGACCCCTGGTTCCTGTGAGAGTCTGTACTTTCCCAATAAGTATTCTGTGCTTTGGGGAGTATGACATTAGGTAGCAGATAAAAACTCACACCAAAACAGGTCAAGACTGTGGAAGAAAGAAAGAAGCTTTTTTTCTGCTTCTTTTGGATAAGAAACCCTGCATTTTCATTTTTCACTGGGCCCTGCAAATTACGTAGCTCACGGTAACTGTATCCATCCCACACTCCTAACCAGAATTGATTAAAACTGGGTGGATGCTTCTAAGAGCTGAGCCACTTAGATTTTTTTTTCCCTTGAAATCTGAAATTGGTCACATGCCCCTAGTTATGTAAACTTGAGGTCTGTGATGGCCCTGAACACTAAAAACAAGTCAGTTTGCAGAGAGAAGTGCCAGTTCCAGTCAATTTGTGCTGGCTTTCTGGAACAGCAGAAAAGAATGCTACGAGGCTGTGCTCAGCGTCATTAACCCATGATTGAGATTTGCCTACGTATAGAATGAGAGAGTAGTGACAAGTATCACAATTGGGTTAGGCTCACTTGGCAGCAAGGAAAATGTGTAGTGCTTCTGCCCCCATAAGCAGTTCAGTAATGTGATGATTCCCAGCAAATCCACATGAAGAAGATGCAGTGAGTGAAGAATCACTCAAGAACATGGCTTCTTCAAGACACCTGCTCTCCCAGAAGATATGCTTCTGGGTTCCCAAGGAAATGTGGGCTCCTGAGTAAGATGTATTCAGAAAAACATACGGTGTTTGACAAACTCTGTACTAGCAAAAATAGCTAATTACTTGAGCTAGGGTATTAGGCTCACAATCCAACTGAGATGTTAAAGGTTGCACAGAATGGCATAGCATTTGTCCTGACTGCCATAGCAGTGATAGCTGGATGAGGTTGAGGAATGGGAGCAGGGTTGCCTGGTCACAGCTGGACTAGCCTCAGATTATGAGTGCCTGCTTTTTCAAAGATGAATCCAATGGAAAGCTAAATCTCGTTCCTGGTCCCCAAGCCCAGGTTCTTCTCTGGCACATCTTCCTGCCAGGCATCCTCTTAGGGCTCAGAACCCATGCTCTCTGTCCACCCACTGGAGCTACCCAGTTCATTCCTGGGTCCTGTCACTCACCCTCCTGCCAACTACCCTGTCCCCAATCCAGGCCTCGTGGTTCATCCCAAAGCATCCTCTCACATTGCAACTTGTATTTTTCACATCTAATTTTAATTGAAGAACTTTCTGTGTGAAAGAGGGCCCAATTTCAATCTGGCATGAAAGGAGAAGGTGCTGTCTTTTGAAAAGCATTTGGAAGTGCTAAAGCAAAACCTACTCAACCCACTTCTAACGCGGATGTCATCCCCCACCTCCCTGCCGATCTCTCCTAAGTGATCTCAATAGCTCCGTCCCGTGCATTCACTGTACAGCCTGGCTCTCAGGTCTGTCACTATAAAAAATAAAATGAAAAAGGAAGATGCTTTTCCTGTGCCTCTCAACAGGCTTTTGCGCCTGTAATTCTGTCCTTCCATTTCTCTAGCACTCATTACTGTCACATGTAATTCTGAAAAGGGACTTCCAGAGATGGAAGAAAGATGCTTAAGCTATAAGAGTTTCAGAATAAAGGACCAAGCTGTTCTGAAGATCTTTAATTTCCAGTGAGGGCTGAAATATGACTTGAGTTATTCAATTAGCATTTCCCAAGAAGCTACAGGATTATAGTTTTTCTCTCGGAGGCCAAACTAAGTGAACGTGAGTCAGACTTGGATTTGGGGTTCCTGAGGGGAGCTTCTTTCTTACCATCTCACCTCCATTCACACACTCACATAGCCACAGCAAACTCACATTGCAATCCTAATGCGAGGCAGGTAATGAGAAGGAGGTGAGGGAAATATTGCAGAAAAGGGCTAGGCTTCCTACAACCTGATACAAACTGTGCAGGGTTTGTCAGCCCTAGCCTGGCCTCCCCAGGGACTGGGACCATCAACTGAGAAGTCCAGCAAAAGCTTCAGGTGGCTTCCAGATCTCATGGTAATGTTTTAAAGTCAGAGGGGATGGTTCCAGCACTCCACGACATACAGCGGGGCCACCACACCTGTACTTCTGATAACAGAACTCTATTAATTAGCACGGTCTTTTCCCTTCCTCCCCCCGGCTCTTTTAAAAACTAATGGGAATAAGAAAAACATCTCTGGCTCTGGTTCAAGGTACCACATGTTTCTAATTACCCAAGTCCTAGTTATTTTCCATGGCTCTATTTCTATGGCAATACTGAAAATACTATTTTTCATAATCATATTACAATGGGTTTTCAGCTCATTAAAAACATCTGGTGAAAGTAAACCAACATGTATTTTTATAACATCATATGTTCCTAGGTGTTCATTCTGCCATGGGCCTCCGGTGGCACATGTGCTCATCGTATGAGCGGCTCTGCCGAGCAGCCAGCCTACCTGTGAGGCAGATGCCCTTGGTGCTGTTGCACAGGTCCACCATCACTCGGATCTGCAGGGGAGAGAGGGTCATCAGAGCAGACAGTAGGCAGCGGGCCCTGGGCTCACCCTTTATTCACATGAGCAGAAAGCAATCACAGATAGTCATCAAGTAGCTTCAGGAGAACACGCAGTTCAAGGAAAATGCAGCGATGTCCCACATCGTGACTATGCAGTCAACCATAGATCGTACACAACGGTGATTTCATAAGATTACAGTGGAGCTGAAAACCTCACTTGTGCAGTCACGAGAGAATGTCTTGGTGCAATGCATGACTTTGTGTTTGTGGTGATGCTGGTATAAACAAACGTATCACACTGCAGTGTGTAGAAAGCATAGCATGTGTAATTACGTATGGCACATCATACTTGATAACAAATGACCACTACTGCTTTATGCACTTACTATATTATACTTTAAAAAGTCTTTTAAAAGTTTCCAGCTGACATCTTGACTTCACCATATTTTGTATTGTTATTTTAGAGTGTACTCCTACTTAGAAGAAAAAAGTGAACCGTAAAACAGCCTCAGGCAGGTCTTCAGGAGGTATGCCAGAAGAAGGCACTGTTATCATAGGAGATGACAGCTCCATGCATGTTACTGCCCCTGGAGACCCTCCAGTGGGACAGGATGTGGAGGTGGGATACAGTGATACCGACGAGCCTGACCCTGTGTAGGCCTATGCTAATGTGTGAGTTTGTGTCTTCATTTTTAACAAAAAAAAAGCTTAAAAAGTAAAAACAAACAAAAAGCCCCAAGCTTAAGAAATAGAAAAAAGCTGACACCATAAGGATATAAAGTATTTTTGTAGATCCATACAATGTGTTTGTGTTTTCAGTGTTATTATGAGTCAAAAAGTGAAAAGAAATTTAAATTTTATAAAGTGAACAAATCACAGTAAGCCAAAGTTAATTTATAAAGAAAAATATTTTAAAATAAAGCTGCCTAAATGTACAGCATTGATAGAGAATACCGTGGGGCACAGTCATGTCCTGGGCCTTCACATTCACTGCCACTCACTCACGCACTGACTCTCCCAGAGCAACCCCAGTCCTGTAAGCTCCATTCCCGGTAAGTGTTCTATACGGGTGAGCCATTTTAAATCTTTCATACTGTTGTTTTGCTGTACCTTTTCTATGCTTAGATACACAAATATTTACCATTGTGTTACAGTTGCCTACAGCATTCGGTACTCTAACACGTTGTATAGGTTTGTAGTCGAGAGCAAGAGGCTCCCTCAGAGAGCCGAGGTGCGTCGTGCGCTATAGCATCTAGTTTTGTGCAGGTGCACGCCATAATGTTTACACAGAATTGCCTAACGACACATTTCTTAGAATGTATCCCTGTCATTACATGACATATGACTGTAGTTAACATAAAGCTTAAAAGATACCCTTAAAAGATGTAAGAATATTTGCTATCAGCAGCTTATCTATCAACATTATCAACAGAAATTCCTTGAATTTCTGCGGAATTCTGGCAGAAGATGATGAGGGAATTGCCAAACCCAACTTCCACAACTGTAATGAGTTAGCCCCTACAGCATCTGAAGGGCTCAGTTTGTGAGCCTGAATAGAAGGGGTGGTAAGCCTAGTGGTGGGATGAGCACAGACGAGGTACTTAGCCTCTTGGAACTCTGGTCTCCTCCTCTGAATAATACAAGCACCTGGCCTTGAGGATTGTACCTGCTCAGTACCTGGGATGTGGAAACTGCCCCTGGGTGGCAGTGATTCTCATGTCACGTGGACACTCCCCCCTGGATGACCACCTGTGGTGGATGGTCACTGCAGCATGCCATTAGCCTGATGTTTTGAAAACCAGTGGAAAACATCCGGCTGCCCCACACCCACTGTATATCTCTTCGTATTTTCCACATTGCTCCAATGAGCTTCAGAAAAAATGAATCTCATCGGGCTAAATTTTTAGGCTGATACTGAAAGATCTCTAGGATAAATAAAAAAATGCAATTGTAGAACAGCACATAACATACTTTTGTTTATGTAAAACAGTAGTGCACACAGAAATGCTTCTATATGCTTCTCTTGCTGCTTTTAAGATACTCTCTGTCTTTCCAGAATATTTCTGGAGATAGATCTAGGAAACCTCAAGTGAGGGAAAAATGGAAGGTCAGGGTGGAAGAGACCTGTACTAAACCTGATATACCTTTGTCTTTTCCAAAATTTCACTGATTACTCTTTCCATTAAACTATTTTTCAAAATACCATGTTTTGATGTGAAGGGAAAATGATTTTGTCTTAAATCTAGATTTATTCCGTTTGTTAGGAGATCCATAAGAAAACTCATACTGTTTTACTTTGTGTCAAGTATGTCAACTGCTATTTATTGACTGCTTTAGAAACTTATCGTGAAATATATCATATGTATCACATAAAAAGAAAATGTGGGCCTGGTGTGGTGGATCATGTCTGTAATCCCAATGCTTGGTAGGCCAAGTGAGAAGATTGATTTGAGTTAAACCAGCCTGAGCAACATAGTAAGACCCTTTCTCTACAAAAAAATTAAAAATTAGCTGGATGTAGTGGCATGCACCTATAATCCCAGCTACTTAGGAGGCTGAGGTGGGAGGATTGTTTGAACCCTGGAGGCTGAGGCTGCAGTGAGCAGTGATCCCACCACTGCACTCCAGCCTGGGTGACAGAACAAGACCCTGTCTCAAAAAAAAAAAAAAAAAAAAAAAGGAAAAGAAATAAAATGTGTACAGATAATTTAATGATGGATAATATGACAAACACATATATATGAAATGAAATGGAAGCTTATCAATGCCTTGGAAGCCTTCCAATGTCCCCTCATCGACAACAGCTCTCTGAGTTGGAGTACACTGGGCAGTATTACTCTCCATTTTATTCAGGTAAGAAAGTAGAGATTTAGAGAGATGGCATCATTTACTCAAAATCACACAGCTTGCTGGTAGGAGAATGGGACTCAGCTCCAGGTTTCCTGATTCCAGGTCCATTCTACTTTCTATTATGTCTCTGGTGATTATCTTAACATCACCAGACAGAAAAAAAAAATTGATTCACTGCTTTTAGTCATTTTCACAAATGAATGTAATCAGCTGCACTAGGAACAAAATTTATTGTCTTAAAAAATGTGAAATTGCCCATTGAGAGGACAAGAAAAGACTTCACAATTGCTTCATTTGCTGCCTGAGGGAATCACAGCAGAGGGGTCACTGGAAACAACAGAAGCATCAATAGGGAAATCAGCCTTTCTCTTTGGTACTCATCACTGATCTGGGGCAGGTGCAGCTTCTGTAAAAACTAAGAAGCAGTTTTCATTTCCTGACCTTTGGTTTCATTTGTATGCTAAATGTCAATTTAGATATTTACCAGTAAATTATGTTCATCTTTACTAGAGAATAGTCTTTTAGTGAATTTCGGCTGTGTCTATAAGATTGTATTGAGATGAAACAGATGGTATGAAAAGGTGCGGCCAGAAAGTTAGAAAATACTTTAAAAAAAATACTTTTTTCTGGTCATAATGATTAAAAATTGGAATGAAAATAAGAAAACTTTCAATTGCAAGTCACAAAAATCTAGATGGTCAAATTAAGGAGTCATATTTGGCATAAGGGGCCTCTTAAAACTTGAGGTAGGTCTAGAGGTGGTTGAAGCTGGAAGACTCCTTAGAGGTTATTGTCCCGGGGGTCCTGGGCATGACCTATTCATGTTGTGGCCCTGCCCCCACCTTGGAGGGCATCTCCCACTGCTCCCCCCCTCCCCCACCCACCACTGTCACTGCTCCAGTGGCCTTGTCGCCAGTCTTGGCTGTGCCTAGTGTGCTGTGCCCTGCATCTTTACCTGGCAGGCTTCACTCATGCCTCAAGTCAGGCTTTCCCTGGTTCCCAGCTGAAGGGAGCCCAGGCAGTCACTCCCCAACACCTCAACTGGCCTTTTGTCTTTGCAGCACTTATGATTATCCAGTACAGTTGACCTTGAATAACAGGTTAGCACTATGCCTACCTGTATACAAATTTTTATCAGTAAATACAGTCAGTTCTCCATATACACAGATTCTGCATCTGCAACCGTCCACAGTATTCAAGGGATGCGAAACTCTCAGAAAAGGATGGCTGACTTTCCATATACGTGGGATCCACAGGGTCAGCATCAGGACTTGAGAGTGTGCAGATTTTGGTATTCACAGGGGTTCTGGGCCCAATCCCCCACAGAAACAGGAATGACTGTATTATCTCACTTACGTATTTATTACCTACTCCTGCTCCCCAGAGAAAGGAAGCATCCTGTGAGCAGGAAAGCTTGTTCTTTGTTTTGTCTGCATCTCCTGTACTATGATTTGAATACGTCCTCCCAAACGCATGTGTCGGAAACATAATACCCAACATAAGTGTTGGGAGGTGGAACCTAAAGGAAGACATACAGGTCTGCAGAACTCCACCCTCATGAATGGATTAATGCTGATTATAAGAGGGCTTGAGTTCACTCTCTTGCCCTTTGCCTTCTGCTGTGGAATGATGCAGGAAGAATGCCTTCACTAGGTTCTGGTTCCTCAATCTTGGACTTCCCAGCCTCCAGAATTATGAGAAATTAATTTCTATTCATTACAAATTACCCAATCTATGAGAACAGCACAAAAGAGACTAAGGTACCCTGTGTCTAGAATAGTGACTGGCCTCAGGCCTGGAACTTCTCTGCTGAGAAGTGGTTCAAGTGGGAAAGCACATCAACTGTCTCCAAGGGAGAGTTTCCCTGAGAGAAGCTGACAATGAGTTGCTAATCAGTTCATGACATGAGCGTCTGGTGGTGCTGGGGAGAGGGTGGGTGAGGCACAGGTAAAAAAAAGTCCAACCCAGCCACATTAGCATGGAGGACGGACTTTGTGGGAATGATGGGCTGTCAACCTGAAAGCAAGATAATAAAAACAGGACCCCCAAGAGCTCAGGATGAATGCACCATTGGCTGTAAGCATCACTGAGGAGTGAGAATTATCTGCCAGAAGAAACACTGGGGCCCATCAGGTTCACCACC